GGAGCCGCTCTGGGCGGCGGTGACACTCACCTGCCCGTGGCAACAACAACAGGCTACGGGGAGGTCGGCAGCAGCGCACTGCAACCGCCATCTTGCCTTACCCACAAGCCCTCACGCCGGACGGAATGCAGGCAGGGCCAAACCTGCCCGAACACGCATGCGCAGGAGAAATCTGCTCGGCGGGAAAGGTGGCGGGGGGAGAGGCGTCTGCCAGGAACAGGCCTGTGCAGAATCCCAGGGTCCGTATCGGCACTGCGCATGGGCACAAAGTGGCAGCCGCGGAACGTGCCGCCCGGACTCGACGGTTGGGCGCAGGCCCGCCCTCTCCTCTGCGGTGCGGCTGTTAGCACCGCCCGCTGCCTTGCGCCTCTGCCCGCTTTGGCGCCGCCTGACAGGGTGCCTGTAGTGAGTGGTTCAGGCTGGATTTATGAAGGACAGGTGGGTTTAGACTCACAGCTCTGGAGAAGGGAGGGTTTTAGAAGGACCCAAGAGAGATTAATTTCAGTGCGAGTGTGACCCCCAGCTCCTGCTGGTGCAGTTATTCATCTCTCTAGAGGAACTGCTGTTTTTCAGGTGCTTGTACCAGCATCTGAATGCCAGTCCAGTGGGAAATGAGACAAGTCCAACAATTAAATGACAGTAACTTTTGGCCACTGCTGAGCTGGACTTAAATTTTAAAACATTTTCATTATTTATGCCTTGAATTATCTGGCCTCATTAAATTAGCCTTAAATGGGGATTAAACAATTATGTTAATTTGTTATATTGCCTATCTTCTACAGATATCCGTCCGCTCTAAAATTCTTCACTCCTTCTGTCATCCTAGGTCTTCAGCATTTCAGTGAGTTTTTTTATTCCCCTCAGCAAGTGCTGCTGTTAATGTTGCATTGTAACCACACACACACACAGGATGCTTTAAATCTACCACTTGCACTACTACAGCCTCGTTTTTCCCATGGATTCCCTTTGCCTTTTAGTCTACATTGAATACAAATAGCCATTCTTTTGTAACCTGGATTACGCCACTGTAGCCAGTGCTTGTATTCACCAAAATATTTCCAAAATGTGAACACAATAAGAGGTAGAACAGAGAATATTTCTGATACTAAAGCCAATTTGGTGCAAATTCTAAAACACTTGTTCGATTTTAGCTCAACTGCCGACACAAGTCTTAAGTTCTGTGTGGCATAAAGCCAGAGCTGTGGCATAACAGGTGACTCATGGATGTGGGCAAAAATCTAGATTTGCTGTGAACACTGGCCAGCTCCAGTTCCCAGCCACAACACACTTTTTTTCTTTGGCTTGTAAGACAGATGCACAGCAACCGAGATGTTATCATCTCTTTTGCTGGTTCCTAGGAATCACAGGAGCAGGCTCCTTCCACCTCCTGACCCCAAACTACCTTTGCACCGTTTTTCACTTCACCTTCATCATGCCTGACAATCTCACCACAGCTCTTCTGAGTAAAACAACCTGCCCCACCCCTTCAGCAAATCTTGTCAGTACTGCTTTCTTTAGATATGCTGCAAAAAAGCTTTCAAGATCTACAAATATGATGAGTACTCATGAAAAGGAGTGGGAAGTTAACAAGCGGAACTGGATACCCATCCTCTTTTCAGAAATGGTGAAGACCTACTTAAAAGTTAATATCTAATTCCTGTATCTCTCATGGCTGTTTTGTTCTTGATGTAACCTGAGTCAGAACCTCTTACTGCAGAGACTTGGCCCTCATTTATTTTGTACAGTGCCATACATA